CCCTTTTAGTATGGGTTCTTTTTCTTAGTTTTTTACAGTAGTCCTATGCAGTATTTCTCCTTTTGTGACTGACTAATTTCACTCAACATAATGTCTTCAAGGTTCATCCATGTTATGCGATGGCTTGCAGCCTGCTTGTTATTCTTCATGGTAGCATGATATTCCATTGTGTGTATGTACCACAGCTTGTTTATCCATTTTTCAGTTGATGGGCACTTTGGTTGTCTCCATCTTTTTGCGATTGTAAATAGTGCTGCTGTGAACATTGGTGTGCATATATCTACTTGTGTTATGGCTCGTATATCATTGTTATTTTGATTTGCATCTCTCTAATGGCTAGTGGTCGTGAACATTTCTTCATATATTTGTTGGCTTCCTGGATCTCCTCCTTGGTGAAGTGTCTGTTCATACCCTGCACCCATTTTTTAATTGGGTTATTTGTCTTTTACTTGTAGAGGTGTTGTAGTTTTGTATATATATATTTTAGAAATATGTCCCTTGTCTGATGTGTCATTGCAAAAGATTTTTCCCATTCCTTGGGTTCCCTTTTTACTCTTCTGGTGAAGTCTTTTGATGCACATAAGTTTTTAATTTTTAGTATGTGCCACTCATCTATTTTGTCTACTTTTTGTTTGTGTAGTTTTCAAAATGTTTTATAGTCTGTGTATCCCCTGAATTAGTTTCCTCACATTTGTCCCTGTTTTTTCATTGATGGGCTTCATAATTCTGGATTGACATTTAGGCCTTTAATCTATGTTGAATTGGTTTTTGTATAAGGTTTGAGGTGAAGGTCTTGTTTCAACCTTTTACATATTGCTTTCCTGTTCTGCCAGCACCATTTGTTAAAGAGACTATCTCCTCCCCATGTGATATATTTAGGAGTTTTGTCAAAAATCAATTGGCTGTATATAGATAGGTTAATTTCTGGATTCTCGATTCTGTTCCATTGATCTATGTATCTTTCATTGTACCAGTACCAAGCTGTTTTGACCACTGTAGCTGTGTAGTAAATTTTGAAGTCATGGAGTGAGAGGCCTCTAATCTTTTTCTTTTTCTTAAGCAGTGCTTTGCTTATCCTGGGTCTCTTTCCTTTCCATATAAAGTTTGTATTTGTTTTTTCCATCTCTTTGAAGGATGTTGTTGGAATCTGGATTGGGATTGCTGCCATATGATTTAAGCCATCTTTTTTCATTAATGTTTCTCTTCCTGTGAAATTTACTAAAGCAACCTAGTGGCAAAAAACAATGTTGTACTTATACTTCTGTGCAGAAATGACAATGAACTGAAAATTCGTTTTACAAAGTAGACATTAATTTAGGAAACGTTTGGATATAATGTTAAAGCGCAACGTGCAAAATTAAAAATAAAGAGTATTTATTAATATGCATAGTAAAAAAACAAAAAACTCAGGTTCTGTCATTGGTAGGTTTACTTTTGCATTTCCTTGCATGGTATAAAATGAATGATATACTAGTTTTTATAAAGGGCACAAAGGCTATGTATATACTCGGTGTGACACTGCCCGATCACTACTGGACTGTGAACCACAAGGTCAGCATTTCAAACCCACTGGCCACTTGGAATTGACTCAGTAGCACTTAAGGCTATGTATAGCTTCAAGTTACTTGGAAGTATTCTGTTATCATAAACACTGCCAAAAGTTGTGAATTCTGATCCCAAATTCAGATTTTGGAAGCTTAATTAAAAATGGGTTTAGGGCAGAAAATACATGATAGCCTTATTCTTTCTACCTGAGTGAAAATGTTTAAGTATTTTGATATCCAACCTCATGTGTTTACTAACATTGGGAGCTTTTTGTTTTGTTTTGTAGAGTTGACAACTAATGTTCATGTAAGACAGAAAAGAAAGATGTCTTTTCGCAAAGGTATGTTTGTTTTTTTTTCAATAACTGGTCAAAAGTAAGAGATGATTTTCATGACAAAAAGATAGCTAAAGCGATATAATGATGTAATGCAGGCTCTCCTCCTCTGTCTCAGTGAACATCATCATCCTGATCCTGGCTGTTGCTCTCTTCTTACTGGTTTTGCACCATAACTTCCTAGGACTGAGCAGTGTGCTAAGGAACGAGGTTTCAGGTATGGGAACCCTTACTAAGTAAGTCCTTGGCATCTGTTGAGGACATAGAGATCTGTGTGTCCCACATACTAAATTATATCACAGTAAAGGAAAATAAAGTTTTCTTCTCAACCTTAAAACATAGTTGAAGACTGAGAAAAGTACGGTGGGGATTTATTATGCTCTTGCAGCGTGTACCCACTCCTACCCCCATTTTTCTTCTCCGTGTTGTGCAGTCACTTGCTGGGAGTTGGATCTGACAGGAAACTCCTTCCCAATTCAGAGTCCATTGAAGAGACTCAATGGGCTGCCCTCTCCATAGGGGACTGCCTTCCTCACAGGACTTTATATACATAGTGTATATACATAGTAGGGGCAGGTGAGCATGGTGGTGCTTGATGCCTGTTCCGTTCACTAGAGCCTTTACCTGTTACTTTAATTTATGGAACCACATTAATGGGACTCTAGTTAAATAAAACAGGGTCGCTGAGTTGGAATCAACTCCACGGCACATAACATCTAATGTTGAAAAATTGTGGCTGGTACATAGGGGGTACTCAGTAACTATTAGGAATGATTTCATTACCTAGGGATAACTGTTACTCAGATTTTGGTTTAGTCCTTTCTAGTCTTTGGGGGTTCTCCCTCCCTCCCCCATATTTTTCTGTTTAGTTGAGATGGTGGTGGTGGTTTTAGCTGTGGAGTCTATTCCAACTCATAGTAAACCCTGTCCAGGGTTTTGGAGGCGATCGGGAGCAGAAGGCCTCATCTTTCTCTATGGAACAGCTGGTAGTTTTGAAAAGTACAAATATGTTTTTCTGTAAGATTATGGCATAGCATGCTATCGTGTACCATATATATAGAAGGTCTTAGTAATTAATTTTATGTAATAGTTTCCACAGGTATTTAGAGATTTAAAAATTTTTTTGATTGCGATGTTACAATCAAAAGAAATGCCTACTACTATATAGCACACACATATACTTGTATGTTGTTTGTTGTCTCTCTACCTCCTATGATGGTAGGGGTTTTATTATGGCTGTAATCCCAATTTATATTAAGACTCATTTTTCTCTTGACTAGAGACCAAAGATTACATTGAAAAGATTTTCATAGATTGATCACATCTTTTTCTCTATGGAAATCTATAGGAAATTAAGGCTAAGGGTGACACCTCTGTGGTTTATATTACTTTGTTAGATCACCAGGCTTTTCTTCCAAGTTACCTGTGAGTAGATTCTAACCTGCAACCTTTCCATTAGCAGTTGTATATGTTAACTGTTTGCACCATCCAGGGGTGCTCAATAAATGCTAATTATCAGGAATGTCATTCTCGTCAATGGGTTTCTGGGCTTCACTTCTTCAGATTGACTCAGTAAATAGTAGATAGGGTTATTCTAAGTCCAGCCTTTTTAATTGTTCTTAGATTGAGCCTTCTGAACAGCTAAACTCCGAAGCAATTATTGTATAAATATATGAATATTCTTCATTATCTAGTGGTGCTATAACAATTTAACATCCCCAAATTTATTGTTTCACCCTTTAAGTGGCTATACATCCAAATTCGGTGACAGCTCAAGGGGAAGGCTGTTTGGTCTGCTCTGCCTCCTTTTCAGCATCAGTTGGCCCTGCATTCCTTGGAGAACTCCATGTCTTGCCCTAGAGGGTCACTATTGAGTTGGAACTGACTTGATAGCACTTAATATAGTCCCAGTATCTATAATATCCAGGCAATAACAGCTAAATAAATGAGAAAAGTGGATTTAATGTATAAAAGGCCTAAAGAAAGGTTCAAGGAACAATACTTGAACTTGCAGTGTTTATGCACACGGATATTATGTTTGAATCCAGGAACTTGTCAAATTCTGATTATGACTCACTACTTTTTTATGTCTTCTTGTTAGTGCCATCGAGTTGATTCCAACTCCTAGCAACCCTGTACAAGGTTTCTGAGGAGTAGCTAATGGGTTTGAATCTCCAACCTTGTAGTCTGCAGTCCGGTGCTTATCTTACAGTGATATCCACACCAGGCTTACTTAAGTACCATCGAGTCAATTCCAACCCATAGCAACCCTGTATAGATAAGGGCTACATAGGGGATGTGATTTGTGATGTGAAAAACACAGGTTTTATCCAGTTAAAATGTGACAAAATGTATCAGAGTGGCATCACTATATTTTTAAACTGTCTTTCCCTTTGCTTTTCCAAAAGTTTTAGGAAAACATAATTTCTGTATATAGGAAAACAAATAATTTCTAGAATGTGACTCGTGTCCTAAAGGGAGAAGTTGAACTAAATCTGTACCTCTTTTCAAAAGCTTAGCAAGTTACCTTTGTTTCACTGCTGTCCTTATGTATGTTCCTCAGATTCAGGAATTGTGGGGCTTCAGCCCATAGACTTTATCCCAAATGCTCCCCAACTTGCAGTAGACAAGAGGCATGAGGAAATTCCTGTGGTCATTGCTGCATCTGAAGACAGGCTTGGTGGTACCATTGCAGCCATCAACAGCATTCAGCACAACACTCACTCCAGTGTGATTTTTTACATCGTTACACTCAACCATACAGTGGACCATCTTAGGTAAGCTTGACTTACCTTATGATTCTGCTTCTAGGAGATAGTGTGGTGTAGTCTACATGCCAATCTACGAATTGTTTTTTCTATACACCACCACATATATGAATATGTTTTGTCTTGTGATTCTGTCATAAACATGTCCCCACAATAGTAGAGACAATAAAAGGGGCTTGTTTCAGAATGTAAGTCAACTTTTGTCACTACAAAGTTGTTTTTATCCATCTTCTATTTTGTGCCCTAAAGTGAAAAGTGTGTTAAGAGGATTAGCAAAGTATTATGGCTCATTTATTTAGGTACTTTCAGTTTGTGGAACTTAGTGAACAGTGGCTTGTCTATAGGCAGTCACAGTGAATTAAGAAGTTACTGTTCCAATTGGAGACCCATGGTTCATGAGAGTGATGTGATGGGATGCTCTGAAGTTTTCGTTTTCTACAGTGGTGTTTCAGTGTTTTGTGAACAGCATTTAATACCTTAGCCCAGACTTTAGCAGAAATACCTCAATTTCAAGTGAGAAAACCAAAACTGACGGGGGTTCAAAGACAGTGGCTCCAAGTTCTCTTTGGACACTAGGGTTTCTTTTTCTACTATCATTGAAAGGCACAAAGATAAGGCTGTGATTTTGGGACATTGTGTAAAACTGAACTGTGCCCATTTCTTTATCAGGTCTTGGCTCAACAGTGGTTCACTGAAAAACATCAGGTACAAAATTGTGAATTTTGACACTAAACTTTTGGAAGGGAAAATAAAGCAGGATCCTGTCCAGGGGCAATCTATAAAACCAGTGAGTTCTATGCATCTTTGTTTGTATGTGGGAGTTACTAGGGTATGAGCAGAACGTCCGAGAAACTGTGTACAGTACAAGTTATTGCCTGGTCACTAAGCCTGGTTGAGTCTAATTAGCAGTCCTCTGGCCATCTTCTCCTGCATGAGTTCTGAGAACACTCTGGAAGCTTCCATGTAAACAAAAGCCACTTATGCTATCCAATGCCTATCTCCTTGTTTACAGTTAATCTTCGCAAGGTTCTACTTGCCAATTCTGGTTCCCAGTGAGAAGAAAGCCATATATATGGATGATGATGTAATTGTGCAAGGTACCAAAGAATGCTACCGTCAGTCCAGAGCATAAGCTGCAGTGGTGGTTTTAGTTTCATGGTGTTCTACAAAAGGGCTCTGTAGGAAGACGTGGGAGAAACAATTGATTTTTTGGCAACTGGAATCTTACCTATTTCAGGAGACATCCTTGCCCTTTACAACACACCACTAAAATCAGGACATGCAGCTGCATTTTCAGAAGATTGTGATTCAACCTCTACCAAAGTTGTTGTCCGTGGAGCAGGAAACCAGGTAAATGACTTCGTCATACCCCTTGCACAAATAACAAATAACCTTACTCCCCAAAATGAAAGCTTTCTTTCCCTTGGTTCATGGACTTCACATTACTCTTCCTTGAGCACATACTTGGTTTAAGATACTGGGATCTAGGTTTCTTTTATAATTTCCCCAATGTCCCTTTTAATAGCTTTATGTGGTGGTGGTGGTTATGTACCGTGGAGTGGGTTCCGACTCATAGCGACCCTGTACAGGGTTTCCGAGGCTGTATATCTTTACGGGAGGAGAAAACCTCATCTTTCTCCCACTAAACAGCTGGTAGTTTTGAACTGCTGACCTTGCGGTTCACAGCCCGATTCGTAACCACTATGCTACCAGAGCTCCTTAATAGCTTTATGTAGAGGCCTCTATTCATAATCCCATATCAGAGAGAGTATTAACAAGTAATTTTTTTCCTCATCTCTACAAGTCTGTTCTATTTATCATTTATGCTTTTAGTACAATTACATTGGATACCTTGACTATAAAAAGGAAAGAATTCGTAAGCTTTCCATGAAAGCTAATACCTGTTCGTTTAATCCTGGAGTTTTTGTTGCAAATCTGACAGAATGGAAACGACAGAATATAACAAACCAGCTAGAAAAATGGATGAAACTCAATGAAGAGTAAGTACAATAAGGGGTTAAAAATCTTTCACCTGTAAGAGCTTTGTCAGACTTGACTAATAGCATACATTGTTGTCTATCCCATCAAGAGAGGGACTATACAGCAGAACCCTGGCTGGCAGCATCACAACTCCTCCTCTGCTAATAGTATTTTATCAACAGCATTCCACTATTGATCCTATGTGGAATGTCCGCCACCTTGGTAAGTAGATTAAAGGTTGTCTAAAGGATTCCTTTCAGGGATGGGATATATCCATCATTTCTGTAACATCTGGTACAGCGTGTCTTTGTTGTATATATCTGGTATAATCATTTTTTTTTCCTCAATGTAAGGGTCCAGTGCTGGAAAACGGTATTCACCTCAGTTTGTAAAGGCTGCGAAGTTACTCCATTGGAATGGGCACTTTAAGCCATGGGGGAGAACTGCATCATATATTGAAGTTTGGGAAAAATGGTATATTCCAGATCCAACAGGCAAATTCAGCCTAATCCGAAGACATGTGGAAATCTCAAACGTGAATTAAAATAGAATTTCCAAGTATAAAGCAATTCTCAGGATATCCTGGAAGATAGTATGTGTGGGAAGGAACACAGCTGCCAGACTTCAGTGCCTATTTGTAGTGACCCAGTAACCCATGGAGAGAAAAGGACAGTCCAGCTGGGTAAAGGCAACAAATTACACTATACAAGTCTGGTGTAGTCTGTCTCCTTCTGCCTTATCAAGTATTTTCTTACTGCCAATGGTGAATAGAGATAAATGGACTGATTCATCTAGTACATTAAAACTGTTTTTTGGTTGTGATTTTGTAACTTGTGGCCTGATCTGTAAAGAAAGTGACAAGTACATCTACCTGCAGATGAATCATGGTCTTACAGAATTCAGACACCTTCTAAACTGCAATTCTATTTAATGACTATAATGATACATATTCACAAAATATACACAGCTCACAGCATACTTTAACAAACTGGGATGTTTGCTAAGAAAAGCCTCTTCTTGAGGTCAAGACTATGCTATACATAGTCTGCACTGAAGTCATAAGCATCGTCATCTTCAGTTATTTTATCTAAGAATAAAGATCTTGCTTCTTGATTGCCAAATTCACCTGTATTAGAGAAAAGTAAGTGAGAGGTTTTCTTTGGTTTTTAAAGTAAAACTGATTCTATGCAATACTGCTTAATTAAAATAATCATCTATCCAAATTACCTGCTTGGAACGCCTCAGGGAGTGCCTCCCCCTTCTCTTCTGCAGAACTGAATGTGCTGTTTTCCTGAAAGACAAACGTTGCTGGGTTAAAATTAATAATCCTTGACTCTCATTAAATCAAGTAAACTCAATAGGAAAAAATTCTGGAAAGTGTTCAAATTACAGACCAAGGGATCTGATATACAGAGCTTCTCTAGTCTACTAAAAGGTATTTAATTTTCCATATTTAACTCCTTCCAACCACTTTATACAGTACAATGTTAGGAAACTCACTACAGCTTTAAACAAATCATGCAGCACATACTTACATCAGCTTCTTCACCATCAAGACTTTCCTGGTCACTGTCACTGTCCTCTTCCTGCTGCTCTTTCTGTTTTGACAACTTCTCAGGTATGTCATTTTCGTCTATGATTCCGTTTGTGAGACCAGAAGATTGGAAAAGGATGCTACTAGCTAAACGGGAGCCCCTGATGACTAAGAAAGGAACACAACCAAGTAAACAGATGAAACCTTTATTGCTCCAATGGGGACAATACTGAAATACAATGTTTGCTCACCTTGTATACTGTGTGCATTGTTCTTATCCAGTTCCTCCATATTAAAGCCCAATTTCATAGCTGCCATTGTACTCTCATTAAAATGTGAAGAGCAAGTCCAGGATATGGGAGGCTGGCAATAGTAGCCTAGGGTGGCACTAGTATGAAAGACAAGATTTGTCACAACAGTTCCTATAATTAAATATGAGAATCAAAACACTAAAGAAGCCTTACCCTGTCCACTCAGACCACAGCAGTCTGGCAGCAGCTTCCATATTTGGGCTTCCACCTTTTTGATGTAGTCCTCTTCTCTGAGCAAGCAAAGTAAAAAATTCCAGAGGGTTTTTATAGTCTGGGACGGTGTATTTCAATACTACCTAAAAAAGACATCACCAGGAACGAACTGTCATGATCAGATACAGCATGAATGTAAAAGCAAAACGTAACACCACCACAAACAAAAAACACAGACCGTTCCACTTAAATAGATTAGCATGTGAAAATGGAGGCTGCCCTGTAAGATAAACAATAGAATGCTAACCACAAGATCGGCAGTTCAAACCCATCAAATGCTCCTTGGAAACCCTATACAGGGTTGCTATGAGTCAGAACTGAATGGATGACACTTAAACCACTGCGAATCATGGCTCAGCCAAATTGACATACAACCTTTGACCATTTTGTGCCTTGTACCTTGGCATTTGTTACTGCCAGAGGTATGTCCATTAATAAGCAAAATAACTAGGTAAGTGACAAATTTTAATTAGGGTGCTAAGATAATTCAAGTAGTTAAGTGCCATCAAGTCTATCACAACTCTGACTCTCTGTATAGGACTTCTGAGGAGCAGCTGGTAGGTTTGAACCACGGACCTTGTGGTTCATGATCTAGTCCATGTCCTACAGCATCATATTTTCAACAAATGGTTTTGGGGTCAATCTTGGATCACATGCTAAATAATGAAGTTGGCACCTAGCTCATACCATACACAAAATCACCTCAAAATGGTTCATTCACCTAAAATGTAAGTGCTACAGCTGCTAGCTCTTCGAAGAATATATAAGCAAAATCTTAATGACCTGCATTAACTGATTCCTTAAAGACACCAAAAAAGCACAAGTGACAAAAGGAAAAAGGTAACTTGGACTCATCAAAATGAAAATCTAAACTTCAGAGAACACATCAAAGTGAAATGGCAAGTCAGGAACAAATGTTTGAAAGCTTATCTGATAATGGGTTTGCACCTAGAATGTTGTCGTTAAGTGCTGTTGAGTCAGCTCCAACACATAACGACCCTATATAGGGTTGCAGTTCAAGGCATTAACACCACAGTGCCATACCAGGACTTCCATATCTACAATATACAGCTTAAAAAAGAATAGAACATTCTTCAAAGATAACACTGATGGCTTACAGCACAAGGAAAGATGCTCAACACTTCAAATCAAAACAGTGTGATTCTACAACACTTACCTACCAAGATGGCTACATTATAATAACTAGTGCTGACATAGATACTTTTAGAACTGTAATACACCTTGTAGAAATGTAAAATGGTACATCCTTTCAAAGTATGACAGATCCGTAAAATACATAAAAATCTAAGACCCATGCAAAAACCTATATATGAACTTTCACAGCAATATTGTTCATCAACCCAAATGCCCATCAACTGATAAATTACAAATGGGTTATTTGGCCATACAATGAAGGAATAAAATGTACTGGTATGAGGAAGCTTTAAAGTTTGTGGAAATATTGAATGAAATACGACATTTTTCCATCAAAGTTTTGAAACCTGTCCTGCATGCTACAACATGGATGAACTTTGAAAGCACTAACTGAAAGATGTCAGTCACAAAAGAATTCTTTTAAGTTTATGATTAAATAGATCACGTGATCTATTTAAGATAAACCAATCTGTAGGCAGAGAAAGGAGACTAGTTAATATCAAAGATGAGGGCGGCAAAGGAATTCTTTACTGAAGTGAAAAAATGTTAGAAAGTTGCCTATGGTGAGGGTTGCACAAAAAAGTGACCACAATTAAATGGCAATGACCTTAAATTTTTGCTGTTTACAATTTAACTTAAGCATATTTAGAACTTTGTTTCTGAGGAGCAGCTGGCAGTTCAAGCTCACCAGCTGCTCCTCAGAAACCCTATACTGGATCGCTATGGGTCAGAACTGACTCAATGGCCACAATCTAGAACTTGGGAGGTACTGGAAACCCTATAGAGGGTCGCTATGGGTCGGAACTGACTCGATGGGACTTAATAGGACTCCATCTAGAACCCAGATCCCACCCCTCCCCTGAGAAAAAAGGGTTCAGGGTTCCTTTACCTGTCGAGCATCAGCCTGGGACAGGATGGCACTTGCAGCCTCCATTGGTTTTACTACCTCAATACTTGCTGGACTTCTCATAGCCAGTGCACTGGCCGAATTAAGTGGAGACACAATGAAGCTGGGACTGTCTATGATTGTTATCCGTTTGTCCAGGGGAACAACCTGCATGTTCCTAGAAGAAAAGAGATGGTATTCAAAGGGGACACTGGGTTTATTTAGAGAGCAAAAAGCAGAACATGAAGCTCAGGGTTGGATTGAACAAACTCAACACAAGTCAGTCAGATCCGGTTTTTCATCATTTGCTTCATGTTTGTCTGAAATCCAATGGGCCATCTCTTTGTAAAGAAACACTCCCTTCTGCCATAAATATTTTCCCCTCTCCCACCTGGCAGATGTCTATTCATTTCTCAAATATTTTACTTTCTCTGAGACAGTATTCCTGTCTCTGAATCTATTGCTTATCTGTCTTTCTTACTAGATTATGGGCAGCCATCCCACTCTAACCTGTTTTCTCCCAAGTATAGCTCAGGCCTAACCTGCTTCCAACCATTCACTAGCAGCTCTAAAAAGAAAAATCCACCTCAAGATAGTCAACATAAAGTATGCCTGCATGCTGAGCAGCTGAACTTACCTTGTAAGCCCCATGGATACACCAACACTGCATATTTGTTCTTGTTTTAAGCTATTAATAATGCTGCTTTTACCCACATTTGGGAAACCTACAGATGGAAAATTCAGACACACAAGGTTTTTACAGGTCTGTAACTATAAAAAATTTCTGCTAGCTATTTTACGCTTAATGTTTATAGAGCAAGATCAGAGTTGGATCTGAGCGTCTTCACTTTAACACTAAGACCACGTTAACTTCATCATGGCTTACTCAAATAACAAAAGGGCAGGATTAGACTATTAATTAAATAAGACACATTCCTACAATGTCCAGTCACAACAAAAAAATGAATCAGGCAACAATTATTTCCATTTTGATCCCCTTGAAATTTTGTGTGTATTCTTGATGAAGGGGGAAAGAAGTTAGTGTTTGAGTCCAACAATCCTGCACACTGTTAATGTGAGAAAATTCTTGGTTAAGTATCTTAGTAAAATATGAATGGAAATAAACCTACCAATAACTCCAACGCAAATGGCTTTGCCAGAAGTCTCCTGAAATCCTCGAAGAAGCTTCATAAGACCTTTTTTCCCAAAGCAGACTGTACTTTTGAATTGAGCAGCTTTCTTCATCTACACATGTCCAAATTCCAAATAGTTAATTTTACTATTTCTGAAAGTCTGGCTCTTAATCACACTCTACTGCCTTACTTCTGGGTAAAATCAGAGTTGGATCTTGTAATTTCTCTTTTTAAAAATTAGAATTTTGTTCACGCACATTTCAGAAATCTGAAGGAACCACTCTTCTCACCACTAATAGTAAAGGGTACATACCTTGATTAGTTTTCCTTTGTCTTTTAAATGGGTTGAGGCTTTGAACACCACTGTTGGCAATTCTTTCTCCAAATAATTTAGCCAGCTCTCCAAATTCTCCTTTGGCACAAGATCTGGTAAGAATCAGGAAAAAAGACATTCTCTAATTTGGACATTTTGTTGAGATGAATTTACAAAATTGGATGAACTATATTATTCTACTCTAGTTTGCCATTTAATGTACTGCAAAGTAGGCTTGGTCAAAAAGCTTACAATCTTAAAGAAAAGGTGGTAAGTAGTAACTCTCAAAAGAACAGTCAGTAGAAACCAGATGAATCACTTGTAGTAAACACTCTCTTCCCACTGCCCAGCACTGGCTTTTGAGGTCAGAGTTGGATCTTATCAGTCTTCAGTGACAGTCAGACTGTTGAGATGGTTTTCCTCATTCCTCACATCAGTGCACATGCAAGACAAATTGCACCCCACCCCTTTGCATACCTGATTTATTTAACACAAGTATCAGCTTTTTATGTCCAGCCTGGACAATGGCCTCTTCTACCTGGGGACACCTGCAACCAAGAGGATCTCTGGCATCTAATACCTCTAGCACAACATCTGAGGCCTCAATCACCTGTTCAGGGAGTAAAAATCAGAACCACATTACATTCCTTACTCAGAAACCATCCCCGTCCCTCCAACAGATACGTGTTGGCATTATTTACTTTGAAACATGTGAGCTCAGAGTTGGATCTCATGTCTTCACTTTGGTATGAAGAGTATTTGTACATCATCACTTCTCACACAATAAAATACATAGGCTTGCTCCTTTCTGAACTTCTAATTCTCTCATAGTGTATTACGTACTTTTATAGGCCCAAAAGGTCTTATCCAAAAGGGAGATAAGAGGGGTACGAGTTCAAGACAGCAACTACAACTAAGAGGACACTTTTGACTTCACCTGACTTCCTTTACTTTGGTTTCAACAAAGCACTTAAAGATCCTTCTTTTCATACAACTTACACTTGTGTATTATTTTAACACAAAGTGCCATTTTTATAAATGATGCTATCTATAGTAAACAACTGTTCCCTGTGAACAACCACAAAAAAGTATTTAAAAACCAAAGAAATAAGGTACTAAATAGGGTAAGTCAACCTTAAGGATTCTTCTAGTCAAGTGAATTCTACTTCCATTTGATGTCAGGGTTAGGAAAGAGGATTACTAGTCTTTTAAAACTCTTATAATTTTTAAAGACACTAACCTAGACTTAATATACCTTTTTAAGTTCCTGACAATATAACTTTTTTGGATTCTGTTTACTTGACTTGGTGGTGTTCTTTGTTTTATCTTGTCCAAGTTCCTTGATGACAAAAACAAGGGAGAAAGGGCATAAATTAGTAAACCTGTTTGTATTTCTTATGGCTAACAGACAGTACATTTAGTATTTTAAGTAGGTAAGCCAAAATTCAATTTTTCCTCACTAAGAGGAACAGCAGCCTCTACTCTACTATGCAATTTAACTTCTACATCAATATTCTATTTCTCATCTGTAAGGAGACCCAATCATACCTCGTTCACAGGAGTTCCATTAGATGATTCGACAGCAGGGTTAGTTCCCAGTTTTCTTTTTGCTTCCTGTTCCTTTTGTCTGTCAAGTTTTTGCTGCTGCTTTAGTTCTTCTAGCTATGTGCAATCCGTAAAAGAAAACAGTGAGAAAAAGGGACTTGGTTTGGTGACCTTACTTTGAAAAAAACAAAAACAAAAAACCCCCACACACTATGCTTATTCAGAGCTCCAGTAAACATCTCACCCGCTGTTTTCGCAGCTCAGCTTCCCGAAGAAGAGCCTCCTTAAAGGGAGCACTGTTTGGAACTCCTGGATCTTTTCTAGACTTCTTGTGACCCCGTTTTCTGGCTTCCTTCCTCAATTTTCGATGGTGTTCTCGTACCTATTATAAGAACATTATCTGAGTTTACAAAAATACATCTCTACTCAAACACCAGAAGCTCCTCGGAAACCCTATACAGGGTCGCTATGGCTCGGAACTAACTTGATGGTACTTAACAATTGAAACATCAAATATAGCTATAGTTTGAGACCAAAATAGCTACAGTTCAGTGACATTTGTAAGATGACCTTGATAAACAGCGTTCACTGAAATCATGTGGCTAAGTGTCATTGATCGACTCCAACTCAAAGTAACCCTATAGGATTTCCAAGGAGTGGCTGCTGAGTTCAAACCGCTGACATTGTGCTCCAATCTTTATCCTACTGTGCAAACCAGGACTCCTATTGAAACCAAACCCACTTCTGTCAAGTACATACTGACTCGTAGTGACCCTAATATAGCAGTGTAGAAACCACAGGGCTTTCAAGGCTGTTTATGAAAGCAGACTATCATATTTTTCTGCTGGGGAGGACCAGACTGGAGGATTAAAGCTATTCACTTTTCAAGTGCTCAAATGATGCACCACCAGGTATCCTTAGAACATTTAAAATTTATGTATAAAAATAGGGATGTGTGTTTGAAGTGTGCTGTTAAGTGCCTTTGAGTTGGTTCTGACTCATAGCAACCCTATATCAGGTTTCCTTGGAGCAGCTGGTGAGCTTGAACCGCCGAACTTGCAGCACCACACCAGGACTCCTTTTAAGTGGTACAGACAAAAAGCCACCAGCCTGTACTTTCCCTCCCTTTTTTTGAGCCAGGGTTGCTCTGCAGGATAAGTACTGTAGGATAAACTAACCATAAGATTAGCAGTTCAAACCCCACAGACTCCACCAGGAGAAAGATGAGATTTTCTGTTCCTGATTCACAGCCTCTACTTGGTTTAAGCATTTGGCACTGTTGTCAGGACTCATTGCAATGACTCCAAACCTGAGAAATTGTGAGGGTTTGTAGGAGAAAGAATGAAGGGGAGTGGGACAAAACGTTTCAGCTAAAAGGAGCAGCTACTGGAGTTACCTGAAGCTTCTGTCATACTGGATAGAAAAGATAGCTATCTGTGGCCAAACACACATATTAAAAGCAAAAAAAGTTGTAAAAAGAGAAGCTCAACTCATATAAAACATGGCGCTCAAGTTGATTCAATGAGCAAACAAACCCCTGCAGTCTGTGTGGTGGTTGACTGCTACTCTCACCACAGCTTTGGCACTAGTCTGAGGAGGGAAGCCAGCAAGAACAGGTCTGGTATGTGAGGGGTGGGCCCAACAGTTGCAAGAAGCTGATTTGACCAGAATGGCTTCTCAAACCCAAGGTCAGCCCTCTTTGGAATATAAGCTAGTTGTTGCAGATGAAGCTAAAGCCGGAACATCCATGTGAAACCTGTGTGCATCTGTCACTGAGCTGTGGCTGAATGCGCCACGGAGTTTGCGCTCCACCTCTTCCAAGCAGCCCCAACACAGCCCCTCACTGCCACACCCCCATGACACACCTTGCTCCTATGTGGGTTTGGAACTAGCTGGACCCAGCTTTAGATGGCACTGGGCTGGAGTTGGCATCGTGCCTGCTGACCTCTTAGGAGCCGGCCAGCCCAGGAACAAGATGACCTTCCTTCTCCCCGTTTAGACTCACAGCCTTTGCAGAAAGCCACCCGCCACTTGAAGCTCACTTCAATGATATCCTTTCAATGTGTTTTATACTGTTTTGACTGCCTTTCTTTGGAGAAATAAAAGTTGACGTTAGACTTAAAAAAATAAAAAGTTAATAATAAAAGTTAATAGAATATAGGGTTTCCAAGGAGCAGCTGGTGAGCTTAAACCGCCGACCTTGCAGTTGAAATGGCTTTGTAGTCTGGTGCAATAACCCACAGTGCCATACCAGGACTCTGAATATAGGGTAATCTCAAAGAAAGTTAATACTTGACAACAAACCAAGAAAATGAAAATCCAAGAACAGCATGGCAACATTAAAATTATGAAGAGACAGACAAGACAGAACACACACAAAAAACCATGAACTCAGCACAGGAAGCCATGCAGAACAAAGAAACCAGCAGAACAAAACCCAACATAATGACAGCAATTAATTCACACCTAGTAATTAATTACACTGAATGTAACATGGAGGTGGAGAGTGACAGAATGGGTAAGAAAACAACATCCTTCAATATGTTGTCTTCAAGAGACAAACCTTACAAAGACAAATACAGACTAAAAGGATGGAAAAAATACACCAAGCTAATTACAATAAAAAACATGCAGGAGTGGCAATACTAATTTCTGATAAAATAAACTTTAAGGCAAAAAACATCAAGATGAAGATGAACATTATTTCATGATTAAAGGGTCAACTGAACAAGATGACAAAACCATAATATTTATGCTCCCAATGTAACAGCTTCAAAATGTATAAAGTAAACTCTTAACGGTAGTGAGGTTGGCCCAGGATAGGGCAGTGTTTCGTTCTGCTGTGCCTAAGGTCGCTATGGGTCAGTACTGTCTCGATGGCACCTAACAACAGAGTTGAAGAAAAGAAATAGACAAATCTATAATAGTGGGTGATTGTAATACTCCTCTTTTGACAAGGACAGAACAATCAGAACACAGCTCAACAAAGACACAGAGGAACTAAGCACAATCAGCCAACTTGACCTCATAGATGTGTACAAAGCTTTCAATCCAACAGCACAATCCACAATCCTTTCCAGTGCACACGGAACATTCTCCAGAATACACCATGTTTGGCCACAAAACAAGCCTCCATAAATTTACAGACATCAAAATACTACAAAACATCTCAGATCACAATGCTATAAAATTAGAAATCAACAATAGGAAGATCAAGGAAATAAAAGTCAAATACATGGAAACTGAATAATATCCTGCTTCAAAGCTACTGAGTAGAAGAAATAAAACGAATTCACAAAGTTCCTAGAAACAAATGAGAACAAAAACACAACATACCAAAATCTTTGGGATATGGCAAGAGCAGTGCTGAGAGGGCAATTTATTGCAATAAATGCACACACACACACACAAAAATCCAAAATCAACAAATTAACACAACATCTCCAATAACTAGAAACAGACCAGCAAAGTAAACGTACAGTCAACAGAAGAAATTATAAAGATTAGAGGAGAAATAAATGAGATAGAAAACAGGAAATCTATTAGAAAGAAATCAACAGGAGGAGGAGCTAGTTCTTTGAAAGGATTAATAAAATTGAAAAGACAGCAGACCAACTGTTGAAAGGAGACTTGTGATTGAAAGAAAAAAAAAAGCATACTGTTTGGCATTTTGAGTTCCAGAGACCTAAAGTGAAGGAAAGTTGACCCATCAAAAAAACCACCTTCTAGGACTGAAAGTTGAAGGGAACCAGCGAGCAATATGCTTGCTGATGATCACCTGGATCTACTTGTGAATGGAATTGGGGGTTATGTTCTATTGGCACCTGTTGACCTTAAGATGACATAAGAAGGAAGGCTGACTGTTTAAAAGTGCAGGGGCGTGTATGTGATCTCCCAAACTTGCAGTACTCATTTGACCTAGCTTGGATGGCTAGAGTTCTTGAGCTAACTAAAATATATGGCTAATGCTATAAGGCATGAAATGTCTGACTTACAAATTTTCATGGCTGGCCTTTGAGGGGTCAAGGGAAAATTCCCCACTAAGTAGTTTTCCTCTTTTCCAGATGGGTCTGGTGAAAGGGGGTAGGAATGATGGTGATAGGATTTTATTATTTCAATTGTTAGTAATATTGTGTCAAAACTGTAACTGTTTAAGATATGTAGCTAAAAGGAGGGAGTGGTGGTAGCTATATGCTGTGGAGTCAGTTCTGACTTATAGTGATCCTGTACAGGGTTTCCAAGGCTGCAAATCTTTACAGTAGTAGACAGCCTCATATTTCTCCTGTGGAACAGCTGGTAGTTTCAAACTGCTGACCTTGCAGTTCGCAGACCCGATTCATAACCATGACGCTACCAGAGCTCCTTAAAAGGAGGGAGTAGTTACCTTTTATTTCAGGAACAGACAATCCCAGATCCATCAAAAAGGGCAGGAGAGGGGCTTGGGATCCATGCGTGAAGAAGCAGTGACAGCAGAGGTGGTACCATAGACATAGAGAGCAGCAATGGACTCTAGGCCCATGGACTGAATGAGGCTGTGTGCCTACGGGCGGGAGACTGGACTTTGTACATTTATGTGCATCAAATTATTTCTGCTTTGTTCATCTGTGAAAATGGGGCCAGTGCATTTTCAGCTGAACATGTTTTAGTTATTTCTTGTCAGGTGCAAGTAGAATGCAACCTAATATAGGCATAGTTAGCTCTACTCTTAGGGACATCCAGAAATGATACACTTCATGAGAATTAAAAAAAAATTGATGAAGATAAGACCAATAAGTATAAAGAGAAAAAGGAGGATTTGTGAGAAATTCTCAAGATAATCCATCTTCAGGAATAAAGGGCACACAAGACTGCTAGAGCAGACGTAGATTGTTGATTCATACCCAGGGATATGTAAGCAGGATGAATTGGGGAAGACGGAAAGAAATCTGTCCTAGGACTAGGAACTGTAATAAAGAATACAGTCATTAAGGCCGCGGTGCCACCAGAGCTAGATTGACGTTAGAACCACGTGCTAACTGGGGGAGGGAAAGAAGGGGAATAAAACGCTTTGCCAGTCGGCCAGGTCTAATGGGTTGAGCACCACATTTTACAAAATCAAAGAAAACCTCATTCTCGCTAAGATGAGTACAGACTGGATTTCTTGAGCATTTGTCGGTTACCGGGGTACAACGTTTCTTACACCATGGAGGTTAAAGTTCGGGTAGGAATCAGTTTAGTAATATTTTTGATAGTTTTACAAAAGCACAACACCCACCTTTTTTTGGATTTTAAACCGCTTATGGCAGGTCATGCGTTTACTCGCTTTTTTTAACTCTGGAAAAAAAAAATACCAAAGGTTTGTTTGGTTAGTTTTTTTGGCAATGGCACTATGCGGTCGAGAATTATGTGAGGCAGTTAATAAACATGTTTATTTATAATACAAATTTCTCAAAACAGATAGCAATAGTGAGTCAAGTTCCCCGATACGTTCTTCCGAAATTAGACGCACGATAAAACACCAGACTCAACCATTTCGTACCAAAGTCCCCGAACACAAAGCATGAACGATTGAGTGGGTTTGGAAGGCGGCTCTTAGCTCGCCCACAGTACGATCGGCACGCTGCTGAAGAGAAAAAAAAGCTGGACTTGAAATTTGGCAGTTTCCTTACAAGACTTTCGCCTATTCTCCAATCTCGGACGCCAGCGTTCAATGCACAAAGCATCCAAGGAATGGCAATATTGACCGAGGCCTTCGACCCTCGGTTCAACACAGTACCTAAGACTGCCTACGCGCTGCAGGCGGGGTCGCTGAGAAAGAGCGCCTTGGGAGTCTTAGTGACCATCTGAGACAGGGATTTACTCCAACCCAGCCCGCCCACCCGCCTCCACTCACTTGGCCGCTTCATACTAGTGGCAGGAACGACGAAGACTGCAGACTGAAGAAGTTCACTTCACAGGCGCCACGTGCGAACTGTGCCCACAGGCAAGCATCACGTATTTACGCTACTGCCGCAAAGCGCGCCGCTACGGGCGCTTTCCCGCGTGCGTGCGCATGTACTGTCGTGCAGAGTCGGGTTCGCTTGGCGGCCGTGGGGCTGGCTTTGCGGCGGCACCGGGAGGGGTGAGGGCAGCGGGTGTTGGGGCGACGGCAGCGGCCGCGGCCAGAGGAGCAATAACAGCAGCCGTGGCGGCCACGGGGCGGAGCGCGGCGGTCGGTGGCCGGGGCTGCAGACGGCGGAACAGCGGGGTAAGGTTGTGCTCGAGTCGGGTGGGGCCGCTTCCTCTCGGTCGGCTGCCGGGCCTTTGTGTGGGCCCCGGCGGGCGGGCGGGAGCCTTGGCTGAGGCCCCGCCCCGGCTGTGAGGACGCGCCGGTCGGGTCGGCGCGCGGGGCGGGGCGTCGGGATTGGCTCCGCAGCTGTATCGCACCTGCTGGCCGAGACAAAGGCGCGCCGAGGCCGGAAAACTCGCCGTGCTCTTCTTTCCCGCCCCCCGCGACTGGCCGAATGCTCTCCGCGGGACAGCTTCAAAGCTGTCAACGTTTCCTTACCTCTTCATATCAGTGACAGGTCGGGAAAACCCTTATTTTCTCCCCCGGCCAGGCCCCCTTTTTTTCTTGACGAATCAGACCTTTCTTACGCTTCCAGATGACAGTCGTGTCAGACCGAATGTTTTTTTTTTTATCAATGAGACTCGTATTTATAGCAGAGGCCAGATATCTCAGTGGCTAATATGCAACCCCATTAAGAGCCGGGTTTTTAAAACTGTATATTTCCTGGGTTTTTTAGTTACTATTTTTCCATTTCTTAAAATGTTCTGCTGAAAGAGAAGGATAATTTTATTTTTATTTGTGATTTTTAAAGGGTAGCAGAAATATTGACTGAATCCTGAAAAGCAAGTGACAAATACACAGTGTTGGATTTCCAAATTCTTAATATAGTTATAGAAATAAGTTGGAGTGAAACACTTTAAAACTTATTTTCCTACTTACGAGGGACTTCTTAAAAATTTTCGATACGTTTTGTTTTTTTCATTTAGTGGTGCACTTTCTCCCAAATATAATTTCCCCAAAATCGGACTATTAAAGTTTGAATACTATGGTTTTTTTTTTTTTTTTTTTTGCTTTATTACTTGTTAACAGCGTACCCGTGTTTTAAAATCTCAGTCAGAAGATTGGAAAGTTTTTTTCAAAGAGTTTCACATGAAAACTAACACATGTGTGTTGTGGATAGATGGCAAAAAGAACCTTGCCACTTTCTTTGGCTTTGGGAGTTAGAAGATACTTCAACTATTAATAATTTACAAAAATTCTCATGAATTTTGTGGTATATTAAACTTGTGGAAGTAAGTTGATTTGGAAGAATGTTCTCAAAATTAAAACATAGGTTGGAAAATAATAGATACTGTTTAAGTTTCTGTTAAAATAATGATAATAATAATATGGGCAACAAAGGCATCGAATGCATACTTAAAGCTCTGAATGCCAATATTAAGGATGGTTTACACTTGGAAGTAAGATTATGGGTGATTGTTTCCTTTGAGCTTTCTATTTGTCAAGGTTTTTATTTGTAAGTACTAGAAATACAGGAGAGTTCCAAAAAGTTTATAGACTATCATTTGGCTATACTGAGTAAATTTGACATTTGGTTATACTGAGTAAATAGTCTCCCAGTTTGCATGTCATAAATTTCCACTGTAAATTAATCATTAGTTGTCTGACTTTTGGACTTGTGACTATAATCAAACACATTTTTAAACTTGAAATTGAGCACAATTTATATTCCCATGAAAAAAAGAATTGGTGATGAGATGCTCACAGGGCCTTCAAGCTACGTAGTACAAATAATCTTTTTATTATTGTTTTTAAAGGTCCCACTAAGTATACTTGTAATAAACGAGATATATTGAGCACCCAGGCTATGCCAGATACTATCCTATAAGCTGGGGCCCTAAAAACACAGAAAAGCATACAACACAGTTCCTGTGCCTAGGGAGCGTGCCATCTTAGAGTTGGAACTTAAATGTTTGTGTTGTGGTTTGAATTTTCAAGATGATTTTATGTATGAGGGGGCTTTAAAAGTTCATGGAAAAATGAAATTGAAAGATAATGGAATTTTTGCACAAACTTTGTGAAGTCCCCTTGTACATAGTCTCATTTCATTGTCACAATATTCTAAAGAAGATATGCATGCTTAGCTGTTCTTATTTTAGAAGTGAAGAAACAGATCTGACAAGTTGTGACCCAGACAACATCAAACATAGTTCTAGGTGGAAGATTTCAGCTCCAATTCTGGTTGTACTTCACTCCACTACATTTCTTGTTAAACTTCCAAAATACATTTTAAAATGTGTTCTTTGGGTAATAAAGTATTTGGAAATTATTCTTAAATTTTACGTCTGTTTTTATGTTATCAAAGTAAGTTAATGATTCAAGGATTTTTGGTTATTAAATGATGATTACCACACTCTAGTAATATACATTTTTAATTTGATTTTCACTAGAATCTTTATAGAAGTAATTTTGAACTCCTGCCAAAATGGTTGAAGGTTGTTTGTTTTTTTAAACCTTGATAAAATAGTAGAAGGAAGTATTGCCTGCTTTTGATTTTTCTGGGGGGAAGGAGTTTTTCAGACTCTTTGCTCACATGAACTATTCTCAGTTTGTTCTGGTTTGTCAAAACATTGTGTCACATGTGAGTCTTTCATATGTGTTCACTCTTCATTCCAGCTCTGGAATTGAATTCTGTTCAACCTCACCAGCCACTCCTTGGAAACCCTATACAGGGTCACTGTGAGTTGGAACCGACTCGACGGCATTTAACAACTTGTTGGCTAGGAGACATTGAAAATGCACCCTTTCCTTCTGAAATTGACTGTTGTTCCATGTGAGCAAAGGGGCATGTGAGGTATCTTTAGTGTTTGGTTTTAAAATGGAAGAAATGTCAGGTACTGATAGTGTGTAAGTCTTTGCAGCAGTTTTATAGGTGTAAGAGAACTGATATGTCTATGTTCTCTAGCTTTGTTACCTTTCTTTAGCAGTTCTGCTTGAATGTTTTCTATCTACTCGTACTCATTTTTACTCCTTCTGACCCTTCCTTTCTATTTCCCCTTTCTCTACCTTGTTCTTCTCTTTCAGTTTTGAATATACTAACACTGAATCAGCACTTCTAAAGCCCTGCCTTCTCCCACTGGCTGCACTTGGCCTTCAGACATAATGAGGAGACTGGCTTTTCGAGGCGCTGGTTGTGCTCTGGTAAAGCTGGTAAATTACTGATCATCTATACTCTTTCCCTTTTCTGTCCTTCCTTCCCTTTCCCCTTCCACCTATCTTAAATTTTTGTTCTCCTTTTCATAAGATTCCCTCCTCATGTTTATCACATTCCACCTGTGTCCTTGTTTACAAAAGGTTGGTTCTTAGTTTCTTTATCTTAATGAATTGAAGCTAGTTTGTCAGCCTTTATAAAACACACACAAATCAATAAATTGGCTGTTCTGTGCCTGAATCCTTTGAAAATTTTAGTCAATATTAGCCAACTGAAAACTGTTACACTATATAACAAACCAAAGTTTAGAGGACATCCATCATCAGGGTGGATTGTTTGTAAACACCAGGTGAACTTTAGTTTTGAAAAAGAGATAGGAGACTCCTCTTGTTGCTTAGTTGCTTTCCAAGTTTTATTGTTGGTTTATTTTGCTCCTGCTTTCTGTTCCCAGGAGATCCTCACCTAAGAATTAGATCTCCAACTCATCTCTCCATGCTGCTCGTGTCTTAGAGTACTACAGTGGCAATGGATAACAGTGGGATCTGTTTTGTTTGTTTGTTTTTTTAGCTTTAGAATAAGACTCTTGAAATTATAATTCTATTATTAAGTTATATAAATATTGTGGGACTTTTCTTGGGTATATGCCCATACTCTTCCCCTCTATCTATAGCAGATTGTTTCAGTTGTGATTGTATTTCTTGTGTTATAGCCAAATGTATACATTTGTAATTTTACACCGTTAGTTACTCAGCAGGCAGCCTTAAACCTAGGACACAGAGAAATTGTAATAAAAACTAAAAAGTGTCCATGGTTATAATAGCTTAGTAAGTTTTATGTATAAATAATCAATGCATTTATAACAAGGCTCATTACTTCACCCACAGAAAAACTCAGCCCAAGTCATGAATAGAGACTTGACACAAATGCATGCCCCATTTTCATTGTCTTAGTCTGCCCTGTTTGATACAAATAATTTGTCTTAAAAATTTTTTTGCTTGTATTTATATAATTCTGATTTTGAAAATTGCTATAGGTAAGGACCTCTAATAAAAAATGTTCAGGGTATTAATTTTAGTTTTATAATTTGGTGGTCTTAGAAAATATATTATTTTAAGTTGAGGTAAAATTCACTTAAAACTAAGATGTATTATTTTATTATTAAGTTAGTGGCACTGTAATGTAAGCATTGGACTCTTCCAGGTGCTCCTCAGGTTCAGGGTCACTATGAGTCAGAACCGACTCAATGGCACGTGACAACAACAAATGGCTTTTTAAGTCACTATGTAAAAGGCTGAGTTTTAAAGCTAAACTGCCCTATATGTGTTGGACTCACACATTGTATTTTTAGCAACCAACCAGGGTAGTTAATGATAATATATCCCTGCATTCCTAAGGCACCTTTTATGCTTTGGAATCTATGGTTTTTAGAATCTATGGTGTATGTTACAGATACACACTTCCTGGAGCTAGTTCTAGAGCTGGGAAGAGGACAGTAATAAAGGAGCTAGTGCACAAATTATTAAGTGCTCTGGAGGCCTAGTAGGACCTGAAAGCTTATGTCTGGATGTTCTTCCAGATCACCTACTGGAAAGATTTCAGCATTCATGGGGATAGAGTACTGCACATAACTGTAAAAGAGGTCAGTTTTCTAACAAGAAATTCAAAGAACACTTTTACTATTTCTGCATATGACAAGTCACATTAAGTGTTTTTCAAGGGTGTATCTTGTGACTCTTGCTTTAATGAATGGAAAAATTAATTTTGATTGTATGTATTTTAAGGTGTATCTAAAATGCTATGAATTAGAACCTACTGGAGGCACTTAACAACAACAGAATGTCATATGGTTAAATGTCCTCTATCCCCAAGCCTTCCTGACTCTTGCAGAGACTGAGAGATCAGTACTATGTACCAATGCACATAGGTTGGGAAACTATGTTGTTATTAAGTGCCAGAGAGTCAGTTCTGACTTACAGTGACCCTCCACAGGGTCTCTGAGGAGTGGCTGGTGGGATTGAACTGCTGACCCTGTACTTCAAACTGATCATGCAGTCCAGTGCTTCTGCTACAGCACTGTACCAGGACTCCTGGGAAACTATAGTCTAGGGTAAATTTAGGGCCAGACATAATTAAGTTATTCAAAATTGGTGGTATACAAATGAGTATATTATTGGTGAGTTTATTGCATCAAAAACAAAGAGGTACAGTGGTGAGATCAAAGGCTTCCATCAGAAATATTTATAGCTATTCTTTGCAATAGATAAAATAGTCTAAGTGATCCAGAAGGGTGATGGTAGGTGGCCAGCTGAGAGTTTGGTGGCAGAGTCTAAATTTAAATATAAGAACATGGTTAATTATTTCTTATAGAAGAAGTTGGATTCCATGGGTTCCAAGAGAAGAAGAGCTACCTCCCCTTCTAGTAGTGTCAGCGGGGATTTTGATGACGGACACCATTCTGTGTCCACACCAGGCCCCAGCAGAAAAAGGAGGAGACTCTCCAATCTTCCAACTGTAGATCCTGTGAGTAATTTGGGGCACATAGTTTCTGTCTGCTTTTACCATGATTCCCATGCACTTTCCTTTAAGGGTTAAAATGCAAAATTCCTTTATTTATCAAAAGTATATATTCAGCCAAATCTACACTGATAGTGTATAATATTGTGAAATAATGAAAAATATCACTGTGTCACTTCATATATTCATTCAACAAATGTGTACCTGTCATGTTCCAGGCATTGTTCCAGTATGTATAAGACTAGCTCATTTCTCACATGGAGCTTAGGTTCTAGTGTGGGAAGCAGAATATAACCAAGTACACAGGTGAATAATAAAAGTATTTTTAGCTAGTAATAAGTGCTGTGAAGACAGGTTTGGGTCATTAGAGCTCTTTTAGTTAGTGTCTTCAGGAAAGGCTATTCTGTGATGGCAGAGCACCATCTCTGCAGTGTCCTGGAGAAGAGTTCCAAGCAGAAGCAACCAGTGCAGAGAGAGAGTGTCAGGAACAGGTTTGATGTCAAGATTAAAGAGAGAACGAGACGGGATAGGTCCACCACCAGAGTGTATATGGCCTTTGTGTAGGCATTGTTAGGGGTTTCTATACTGTTTTCCATGTAGTCTTTCTGTCAACTGGTTTTAAGCAAGAAAGTTATTAGGAACAATAAACTCAAAAGAGACACCACCTCCCCCAAGCCCCTCCCCCCCAAAAAAAACCCCAATCTTATGAATTTGATGAAAGGTACCAAAAATTTAATCAGTTTGTTTCTTATGGATAAGTGAGATGCTAGCTGAATATTTCAGACTTGGGGGATTTTTTTGGGAATTCATCTTTTTCCTTCTCTACTTGCCTTTTTGAGTATGTTTTTATTGTTGAGTGTTAGATCATCCTTATGCCTCTACTGGCTTTCTGTTTACTGTTTTTTGTGGTTTTCTTCCTGTTTTTGTGTGTAGATTGCTGTGTGCCATGAACTCTACAATACCATCCGAGACTATAAGGACGAGCAGGGTCGACTCCTCTGTGAGCTCTTCATTAGGGCACCAAAACGAAGGTGAGTTGGAAGCACATCAGTGTCATGGAGGTATTTGGTCAGGGGTCCATGTTTAAAATGTTTTGGTAAGTGAATTTTCCTTTGGAAGAAATGACTTAAATTTTTCTGAGATCCAGATTTTAGCCTTTGTTGTCAAGATGTAGTGAAGTGATTGTTAAAAAATAATGGTCTTTAAGAGGGCAGTGAAAGTGTAGACTTCATAGTTAAGAGGGATCCATTTTTCAGAATGCCACAGTGATTAATTTCACCTTGCTTTCTAACACTTTTTGCTTCTTACTTTTGGCCTTGGCTTCTATGTTCTAACCAAGCAAAGTACATTTCGGATCCCCATATTTACCCCACATACACCTCCTCATGGAGGCTGCAATCCCTCTGACTAACTAGAGCATCCTTCCTTTCTCACTGTAAAATAATACTGATCGTCCCTTCAAAATCTTGGTAATTAAGCCATTTTTTTCTGAAAACATAAATAGATGTGCCAGGCAGACTAATAATGGTCTCCGAAATAGTCTGTGTTCTCTGTGTCATAGAACCTGTGACTATCAGAAATTGCATGGCAAAAGGAAATTAAGGTTGCTAATCAGAATATCTGTAGCTGGGGAGATGATCATAAATGATACAGATGGGCCCAGTGTAGTCACCTAAAACAAAAACCCAAATCCACTACTGTTGTCAATTCCAACTCATACAGACTTACAGGACAGAGTAGAACTGCCCCAAAGAGTTCCAAGACTGTAATCTCTATGGAGCCATATTGCCACATCTTTCTTCCACAAAGTGGCTGGTAAATTTGAACTGCTGACATTTTGGTTAGCAGCCCAATACTTAATCCTCATTAACACCAGGACTCCTTTGTGTGATCACAAGGGTTATTAAATGGTGAAGAGAGAGGTAAAAGTAAGTGTCAGAGACAGATTTAAAGGTGATTATGCTGCTGCCTGTACAGGGTTGCTATGAGTCGGAACCGACTCCACGGCACATAACAACAACAACAAACACATGCTGCTGGCTTTAAAGATGAAGCAGTCAAGGACTGTAGGCAGCTCCTAGAAACTGGAAAAGACAAGGCAATGATTTATCCAATAGAGCCTTGAGAAGGAATGCAGCCCTGCCGACACCTTGATTTTTAGCACAGTCAGACCTATTTTGGACTTCTGAACATCAGAATTAAAAAATAATTTGTGTTGCTTTACACCACTTAGTTTGTAGTAACTTTTTACAGCAGCACTGGGAAAACAATACAATCAGTTAATTGAAGATTTAGATCCCTTTGGCATTATTAATTACATGTTGGAATCAAACTTCTCAATTCAAAGAACAGAGCCATCAAAGATGTGATATCACCATCCCAAATTAGAGGAGCACTGCTGGTTAGTCATGGCCAAAAAAATAAGGGATTTTATTAAAATGAGGTAGCTATCTCCAGATTTTAGTTGATTTATCAACGTTGTTGTTGTTATGTGCCGTGGAGTCAGTTCTGACTCATAGCAACCCTGAATAGGTTTTCCAAGGCTGTAAATCTTTACGGGAGCAGAAAGCCTCATCTTTGTCCTGTGGAACAGCTGGTAGTTTCGAACTGCTGACCTTGGCAGTTCACAGCCCAATATGTAACCACTACGCTACCAGAGCTCCTTGATTTCATTAATAGCAGTCTTTTAAAATAAATTTCACTTAATTACCATCTGATGAAAGTTCATATTTATTGGTTACCACGTTAGACAATGTTCCAACTACTTTTCAGACACTGATCACAGTTTACAGATTCTCAGAACTCCTAGAAAACTAACCAGGAGTCAGACTCAAGTTTTTCTGATCCCAAAGCCTGTGCTCTTCCCCAATATGTTGTCTAGAGGAGCAGCAGCAGTATCCTGGGGTACACATAACTTCTCCCACTGTACCTATGCTATATCATGCAGCAGAGGTACGGATCCTCTGCTGCCTGCTTTCCACAATGTGTGTATGAACTATTGAAACTTTAACCTAAAGCCCAATAAAATGTCTAAATAAACCAAGTAGAACTTCTTTATTAAAAAAAAAGAGCATTCATATAGGAGGATTTCTTAGCACAGGGTATTGGCGCCTAAGTGGAGGAAGAAAAGTATGTGGGGTGGGAGTGGAATAGGGATGAGTCTCTTGGTGACCTATCATAGGAAGTCAGAACCTGAGTGTCGGGGGGAAAGCATCCATACAGAAGAGCAGAGCTTGAGGAGGAGGAGGATGTCTGTGCAGAAGTTGGGAAGGTGGTCTGGTAGAGGGGATGGGAGCAGAACCTCAGTGGAGTGAGGAGGGCATCACGAAATACTGTTGTACTTATATTTTGCTGTAGAATTATTCCATAGCGATTTTAATGCCTGATTTTTTGAGAGTAGATCACCAGGATTCTCTTTTGGGGTGCTTCTGGGTGGATTTGAACCTCCAACCTTTTGTTTAGCAGTCAAATATTTTAACCATTTATACCACCCAGGAAAGGAGTCCTGGTGGTGCTGTATAGTTAGCACTGGACTGCTAACCATAGGTCAGAAGTTCAAACCCACTATCCACTCCATGGTAGAAAAGTGAGGTTTCCTTTTCCTGTAAAGATTTACATCCTTGTGAACCCTACACAGAGTCATTATGAGTGGAACTTGACTTGATGGTGGGGGTTTACTATTCAGGAACTCCAAATCAGTTATCAAGGCAAGTTTATTCCAACTCATGGCTACTCCATGTGTCTCAGTGGAACCTTGCTCTACAGGGTTTTTAATGGCTATTTTACAGAAGTAGAATTCCAAATCTTTCTTTTGAGGTGCTACTAGGTGGACTTGAACCTCCGATTTTTCAGTTAGCAGCTGAGTGCATTAACCATTTGCACCATCAAGGGATATCCACTGTCTGATACTAAACTCCTGCTGTCAATTCTAATCCAACTCATAGCGATCCTGTATGATAGAATAGAACTGCTCCTCTCAAAATGGGGAGGGGGGCTATAAAGGTAAGAAATGACTGGCTTACAAGCTTTCAAGAGGAAGCCTAGATCGAGAGGGTGTGGAAGAAGTGTAGAATCACCACTGAGTAGTATCTAATCTGTCTGGACAGGGTTGATGAAAGGAGATATGGATAGGTATCTTGTGATACAATAGTCAGTAATTGTTATCAGAATTGATTGTGAGGGTTGGAAATGTAAAGGTAGCTGTTTTACAGCAAAAGGATGGGAGTGACTGCTTTGCAGTTTAGGAGTGGAGATCTGGATCCTGGGACCATCAAGGGAGAAGAGTAGAGAGTGGGACCCTACCCAAAGAAACAGTGACACCAGAGATGGAGGCAGAGAGGATGATGTGGAGAGATGGAGTGGCTGGGGACACTAGACCCAGAGAGGGAGCGGGCTGTGTGCTGACGCTGGGGGGGAGGGGGAGGCAGGGGGAGGGAGGGTACAATAGGATGAATGTTAAGCTAATACTCTCCCATGTAAAGTATCACATAATTCATAATAGAACATTTAAAAAAAGAAAAAAACGGCTCCTTTAGGGTTTCTGAGGTTATAAATCTTTATGGGAGCAGACAGTCTCTTCTTTCTCCTGAAGGGTTTGAATGACCAGCCTTGCAGATAGCAACCCAGTACTTAGCCCACTTTGTCACTAGGACTCTTTACTATTTGAGCAAACCAAAAAATCATTGCCATAGAGTCAGTGATGACTCATAGCAATCCTGTATAGGGTTTCTGCGGCTGAAAATCTTTCCAGGACCAGAAAGCCTTATCTTTCTGCCACGGAATAGCTGGTGGGTTTGAACTGCTGACCTATGGTTAGCAGTCCAGTGCTTATCCTGGCTTTTACAGTCTGAGAACAGAAGTTCAAATAGGAAAGACAGAAAAGTGGAATTAATGTTAGATTAGAATTGGAGATACTGTGTTGTAGGATCAGCACTGGACTGTGACCCACAGGGGCAGCAGTTCAAACCCATCAGCTGCTCCTTGGAAACCCTATACAGGGTCACTATGAATTATAATCGACTTCAGCGGCACTTAACAGCAACAGCAAGCATATGTTTTTATGTGTGTTCATGTCGGTTCCAACTCATAATAACCCTGTATTGGGTTTCTGAGAAGTGGCTGGTTGATTTGAACCACTACCTTTTGGCTAGCAGTCCAATGCTTACCCTTCAGTGCCATACCAGGACTCCAGTATATGCAGATAGGTAGATGTAGAGATGTGGTGTGTATGTTTTCTAGCTCTACCCACTGAGATAGCTTGGGAGCAGCAACACCCCAATAGAAATGAGCACATCTAATGAGTAGATCTAATTTTTGAATACCATTCACCACTAAATGGAACCAGAGTTTCTTGGGAAATAGCTGATTTCATGGACTGGGTCCCTCAAAGTACAAAATGAGCCAGTAACGTCTTGTGCCAGAAAATAAGCAAGAATTCAGAGTGTGATGGGAATATGTCAGAAGAACATAGAAAGGACTCCTACTGGCCAAATCTGGGGCATTTTGAGCATCAAAATAATTAATGATTTTTAACCCTTTGATTAAAATAGAAATCCATGAGTCCATAATGATACAAATTTTTAAATGAGTAAGTTGAACGTTTGATGAAAAATGAGTTTTTACATAGTATAAAGCCCGTAGTGGTTACGAATGGGGCTGCGAACCACAAGGTGAGCAGTTCGAAACTACCAGCAGTTCCACGGGAGAAAGACGTGGCTTTCTGCTCCCGTAAAGATTTACAGCCTCGGAAACACTGTACAGGGTCACTATGAGTAAGAACCGACTCCACGGCACTTAACAACAACAACAAAGCCCTAGTGTGGCACTGCAGGATAATGCACTGGACTGCAAGATCAGTTTGAAGTGCAAGGTCAGTAGTGCAAAACCACTGGTCACTCTTTGGAAACCCTTTACAGGGACTCTGTGAGTTGGAACTGACTTGACGGCACTTGAAAACAAAAAACAAACAAAATACATTAAACTATTCAGGGGTGGTAGCCATTATTCCAGCAGCTTACTCTCAAATGATTCAGGAAAAAGTTCTTTGAAATGTTCTGGTCACTTTTATTTTTGAAGAAAAGTCATATATGTATGAAACGGACTATGAGTCAGAACTAACTCTATGGCACTTAGTAATAGATGTATAAAAATACCTAAAGAAATGACATGCATATTGCAGAGCTTCGTAGCTAAGGTTCTAGGAAAGAATAAAGCCTTAATGCTGTAGACACTGTTTGTATGTGATAACTTGTCACAGATGCTTCTAGAATGGCGCTAACTACCAACCCCTGTGAGAGAACTGAGAAGATCATTTTTTCAGGGGGTTTACTTTTCTCATGGAACCCCAGTTGTAAAAAGCTGGAAATAATAATAATAGACATCCATGAAACCAAAACCTAATTTAAGAAAGTATTATAACTATTTTTGGAATTCTCTTTGTGTCTCTCATTGTCTCCTTCCCCACCAAATGATAACCACTATACTGATTTTTGTGGATGGTTGGTTTGTTTAACAGTTTGAATGTGTATCCTATCCTTTCATCTTTGGTAAGCTCCTTGAAGCCAGGAACCTTTGTAGCTTAGTTGATATTAAGCTGTATATATATAGTAGACCAGCCAGAATGTTCCTTAGAAGTGAGGATGATAAAACTTCATTCATCTCATGTACTTTGGTCATGTTATTATTAAGAGGGACCAGATCTTAGAGAAGGTCATCATGCTTAGTAAAACAAGGTCAGCGAAAAAGGGGAAGACCCTTCATAAGAGTTGGATGAGTACTGTGCCTGCAACAGTTGAACCAAACATAGCAACATTTGTAAGCTGCAGGACCAGCAGTGTTTTGCTCTGTTGTACATAAGATCTTTGTATGTCTAAACATGCTCAATGACACTTGACAACAACATGTAATAAGTTCTTGGCAGTGTTCTATATGCTACTTTGGTGAGAGTAGCGTCTGGGATCTTAAAAGCTCATGAGTGGCCATCTAAAGTGCAGTTATTGGTCTCTCCATGTGCAGAAGAAAAGTGATGAAATTGAAGATGCTTGGAATCAACTAGTCCAGTGGACCAATGGAACATGTGAACATCAGTCATCATGACTCTTAGACTGGGAAACTAGATGTGCCCTGCTACCACTACCAATGGCTCTAATAAGAATCATACTAGAAAACTGCCTTCCAAGACTTAAGACTCAATGGGAACACATGCTCTGATTGGTGACCACGTTCGTCACCGATAAGGGGAAGTGAGGGAAAAACAGCAATGAAGCTACGAGCTAAACCCTACAACGTTCAATAAACTCCTGTGAACCCAGGTGGAGACCTGGTTGTCCAGCAGTGTGGCAAGTTCTGGGGACTCCTGGGCCCAGAGTCAGTGACATAGCCACAGAGAACTAGAGTGGAGAGTGAAGCATCCAGCTGATAAGAAGAGAGGGCATATGCACAAGAACACCCACACTTGCAGATAATACCCACTTGATCTGGCTTCAATGACTGGATAATCAGAGCTCAACTAGAAGAAGAAAGAAGAGGAAAAAAGTCTGATACAATTTGATGACCTTACCTACACCTATGGATGCAATAGCTCAAAAGAGGGAACAGCAAGGATCATTCCCACCCCCTCCATACATGGAGAGGACAGGGATGGGCAACTTGAATATTGGCTACCCAAAATAGAGGGGCTACAAAGGCAAAGAGTGACTGGTTTACAAGCTTTCAAAAGAGAACCTAGATCCAGAGAGTATGGAGGAAGGTAGAATCTCCACTGAGTGTTTTCCAGTCTGTCTAGGCGAGGTTGATGAAATGAAATGCAGATAGGTCTCTTGTGATACAACAGTGAATAATTGTTATCAGGACTGATTGTGAGGGTTGGAAATGTAAAGGTAGATGTTTTGTAGCAAGGAAGGGAGTGATTAACTTTTCAGTCTAGGAGCAGAGGTCCCTGGGACCATCAAAGGGACAAGAGCGGAGAGTAGGACCCTACCCAGAGAAGCAGTGATGCCTGAGATGGAGGCAGAGATGATGACGTGGAGAGATGGAGCATCTGGGGACTTTAGACACAGAGAGGGAGAGGGGCTGTGTGCTGTTGACCAGGGGTGGGGGGAGTGGTGGAGCAGGTTTGTAGTATATACCCTTTGGTTGGTTGATGATGCATGGAGGGGACTGTTACCATGGCAATGAAATGATATAGGATAGGATGAATGTAAAACTAATGTTCTCTCATGTAAACTATCACATAATTTACAATAAAACATTAAAAAAAAAAAAAAAGAATCATACTGGAAGGTCCTGTATAGAGTAAGAGAAAATATACAACAAGACACAATTATTTTTAAAAGAGAATGGGTTTACTGGTCAGAGACTGGGGACACCCAACACTGTGGCCCTCGACTATTCTTCAGGTTTGGAAAGGAACTCATCCTTGTGGTCCACCTTTCAGCCAAGTAGTAGATAGGTACGTAGTGGGGGACAACAATACTAGTAAGATATATTCACCATGGAATGGTCAATTATTGAAGATGAAAAGGGCAACATTGACTTATGGACAAAGTTGAGAAGGAATAAGAAAGAGAAATAGAGATAGAAAAGAAGTGGTATAACTTTATTATTTGAAGGAGATTGTAGTCATTGAAATAAAACAAAGTATAGGATTTGTAGAATGTAAAACTGATAATTTCTTTTACAAATCTTCACTCAATTCACAATAAACAGTTAAAAAAAACATGTAAAAGTCATCTGGTAAGTACTTAGTAGAAAAAGGTTCTGTTATCACTGACAATGAATGACAAGAGAAATTGTTTTATAAGTTTATCAAGCATTTTGAAATATGAATCTGTTTTCAGTCATTATTGAACATCTTCATTTGTATAATCAGTGACATGGGCTTAGAAACTTTACCTTAAACTTTAAACACTTAACATATAAAAGACAATCACAGATAATAATTTAGATTTTTTATATCATTAATACTTTGAAAAGAAAACAGATGCATTTGCTTTTGTTAACTCAATTTTATTTCCAACCATGAGAATACATTTGGTGGCAAATTCTAATATGCTCAATCACTTGGAATGTTGGACATTACCCCAGATAGTTTAGAATACAGCTTTTTCTAGGCTTTGGATTAGTACCATGTTTAAAAAAACCTCCATATTTCAATTATAACAGAAATCAACCAGACTATTATGAAGTAGTTTCTCAGCCCATTGACTTGATGAAAATCCAACAGAAGCTAAAAATGGAAGAGTATGATGATGTTAATCTTCTGACTGCTGACTTCCAGCTGCTTTTTAACAATGCAAAGGCTTATTATAAGGTAAGAAAGTATCAAATTTGGAAGGTCTCCACATCTTCCAAATTTGATATTATCTCACTTTTTAATATGTATTAATCTGGTGGGTGCGTAGTGGTATCACACTGTGGTTTCAGTTTGCATTTCTCATGTGATTAAAGAGGCTGAACAGTCATGTGATTGATTATTTATCATTCTTGTTTATACCTGTTTATCCCTTATACAAAGTGTCTGTTAACATCTTCTGCCCATTTTTCTCTTGGATACTTTATCATTATTTCTAGAAATTTTTATATATTCCAGATACTAATCTTTTTTTGGTTATGCGTATTGCAGATATCTTCTTCCACTATGTAGTTTTCTTTCCAGATCCTTTTTTGTTGGGATGGGAAGTATGTTAGTGAACAGATTTTTTAAAACTTTAATAAGTAGACAAATATATTAATTTTTTACTTTATACATCATCCTTTTAGTGTATGTTCAGATCACCTTTAATGCATCTGGAATTGATTTGTTTGTCTCCTCTGAGATGATGTTGTTAAGTGCTGTTGATTCGGTTCTGACTCATAGCGACCCTGTATAGTGTTTCTAAAGAGTGCCTGGTAGGTTTGAACGACTGACCTTGCCATTACCAGTCCAGTGCTTATCCTACAGTGCCATAGCCGGCCAGGCTTTGTTTTTTTGCCTCCATAGATGTAATCAGCACTTTGACACCGCTATCCTTTCCCCACCTATCATAGCATCAGTGCTGTCATGGTTTACATGTGTTTGTGGGTCCACTGGCAAGTGTATTACTGGGCCACTATATTTCTGTCATAGGAGCACGGTGGCTCTGTAGGATAAACACTGGACTGAGAACTACAAGTTCAAGCCCACCAACAGCTCCATGGTTGAAAGATGAGGCTTTCTCCCACAAAGATTTATAGCCTTAGAAACCCTATACAGGGTTGCAGTAAGTTGGAACAGATTTGATGGCACTTAACATTTCTGTCTTAATTACTATGGATTTATCATTTTTTTTTATTGGTATGAAATTCATCTTGACTATACTTGACACTTTGACTTCCATTATGTATTCTAGATTTAACGTGTTAAAGTTCAACAAGCATGAAATAACTGTTGGAATTGGCTTTTTAGATTATATTGGGGAGGGTTGATCTAATTATGGTATTGACTTGTGATCTATGAATTTGGTATGTCATCGTTTATTTAAAAGTCTTCTCTCATGTATTTTGGAATCCTGGTGTGACGCTTTAAGATAAATATTGCTGCTTCTTGAAACCGCTGTATAGGGTTGCTATGTGCTGGAACTCACTTGACAGCTCTTAACAACATGTATTTTTTAGTAAAGCTTAAATGTTTTCTTTGTAAAGATTCTCCAAATGTTTTCTTAAGGTTTTTCTTAATATTTTGTGTGTGTGTAACTGAGTGTGCAACTCTGTTTTTTAAAGTCTATTGAAAAAGCTGTTCAACCATCACCACTATCTAATTCCAGGATATTTTGATCACTCTAAGAAGAAACTCTATGCCCATTATTCTGTTTCATGACTATACTACATTTTGTTTATCCATTTACCAGTTGATGGGCAACTGTGTTGTTTCCACATTTTTGCTGTGGATTTTATAAGTGTAGTAAGCATGCTACTAGTTGGGTATAGTGCTGAAAATGTATCCATTCAATCTAACTTGTTCATTGTGTTACTAACATCTTTTACTAACATCTTTTATATCCTTGCTGATTTATCTGATGAATTGTCTACTTAGTGACTGAGATATCTTAAATACCTAGTGGATTTGTGTATTTTTCCTTATAAATCCGTTGATTTTTTGCTGTATGACATTTTGAGACTGCAAATAGCATTAGAATTTTGAAATTACTGTATTTTCCTAGTAAAATGAACTTTTTAGCATTATGTAATTGCTCTCTTTATCACTAGCAGTGTTGTCTGTTTTAAAATCTGATATTAATATAATCATACCAGCTTTGTTTTGGTGTTTGCTCAACTTCTTTTTTCCATTCTTTAACTTTCAACTTTTTCATATCCTTTCAATGTTGATGGTATCAGTTAAATGGTAAAACTTACCAAATAGGTAAACAGATTTATGTTTACCTGATTTATGTTTACCTATTTGGTAAGTTTTACCTTTAAACTGAAACATGTCATCTTTTCACAGTTTTAGCAATTATAATTGTTTTTAGATGCATTTCTGCTCTCTGAATTTTTGCTTACCATTCGTCTCGCTTTTTTATGTTGTCTTATTTTTCTTTTTGTCTTCTGTTGTGGTTTTTTTTTTAATCTTTCATCGCTGGTTTTGAGTTATAAGATCTATTGATATAATCTCTTAGATCTAATCTGAGAAATACATAATTCACCTATCAAAGATAAAAGTTAATCATTGTCTTAACTCATCTTCCAAACCATACAGAGCCCTTAGAATAATTCGAGTTTGGTCACTCTTTCTTTATTTATGCCACTGGCATTATGTATTATAGTTCTACTGTAGCAGGTTTTTTTGTTTGTTTGATTAGTTGGTTTTTTTAGACCAGTGGTTGTGCCTTGGATTGTCTCTTGCAAGCTTGAAGACCCCAGGCACTATGTAACTAAATAGGAGAAAGAATAGAATGAGAATCATGTTCTGATGAGCTCCAGAGCATGAAGGGAGAAAGAGAGAAACTTTTTTTTTTTTAACTACTAGTAATAGCTTTATTTTAAGGAGCTCTGGTAGCGTAGTGGTTATGATTCGGGCTGCGAACCTCAAGGTCAGCAGTTCAAAACTACCAGTTGCTCCGTGGGAGAAAGATGAGGCGTTCTGCTCCCGTAAAGATTAGCAGCCTTGGAAACCCTGTGCAGGGTTGCTATGAGTTGGAACCGACTCCATGGCACACAACAACAACACAACAATAGCTTTATTTTAGAAACCATTCAAACAATACTTTATAGTTTTGATATATGGTATGTTTTAATATTGTACAGTTTTGTAATGATGAAAGAGCAGTATTTATACAAATGAAAAATAAGATTCTCATATCTATGGTGAATTGTGGTGTGGCACTGTGGGTTAATATGCTGGACTGCAAGGTCAGTGGTTCAAGTTCATCAGCTGCTCTTTGGAAACCGTATACAGGGTCACTATGAGTCAGAACAGATTCAGCGGCACTTAACAACAAACAAAAATATTGTTGATCAGAACATGTTTGTTTTTGTATATTGCTAAAAAGTTAGATAGATATTATTCATTGTTCTTTACTCATAATTATCTTATAATAATAATAATATATTCTTTGGTAACAGTGCGTTGTTAGTATTAGTTATTAATCACACCTGACCTACTATAGTTCTTTTCTGATAGCTTTTTTATTTTACTTTTTATTGTGAATTGAGTAAAAATTTACAGACAAGCTCATCAGGTTTATGTTCAAGAAATTACATACTTTGTTTAATCTCAATGATTATAATCCCCTCCCAGCAATAACAGGTATTCTACTTATTCCCTGTGGCTCCCCATTTCCTTCTTATATTTCACAAATGAACAGAGCAAAAATATTTGATGGACATATACAAAACAACAAAAAAATATGTTTGTTTAAATGTCATAAAGGCATATTTTGCAATATAGCCTCCTGCACCAGGCACGCATCCTTACTCAGTCCATGGACCTAGAGCCTACAGCTGCTCTCTCTCTCTCTCACTGCTTTTCTAGGTAGGCTTTTAAGCTCCACTCTTGCTCCTCCTTCTTGATGGTCCTGGGACTGTCTGTTACTTAATAGAAGATTTAGTACTTCCCCTATTATTTATGCATCTTCTATAATTAGTTGTGACAATCACAATGTTGCTAACAGTTAATCACAGTTGAACCATAAATCCTGTTACCATCATCCCTACCCCCTTTCACCTGATCCATCTGGAAAAGAGGAAAACATTCCGTGGAGATTCTACCTTAACCTGCCCCCTCTCCCTCCCCCATTTTTAAGCTAAGCACACTCATGAAAGCTTGTAAGCTAGCCACTTCATGCCTTTAGAGCCCCCACTTTTTTTTTTTTAATGCTGCTGTTGTTGTTAAGTGCCGTCGATTCGGTTCTGACCCACAGCGACCCTGTACAGGGTTTCCGAGGGTGTAAATCTTTACGGGAGTAGAAAGCCTCATCTTTCTCCCGTGGAGCGGCTGGTAGTTTCAAACTGCTGACCTTAAGGTTCGCAGCCCGATTCGTAACCACTACGCTACTGTATTGTGAATTATGTGATAATTTACCTGATAGTTACATCAGTTTCACATTGATCCCATTGTATATCGTTTCCTTGCCATGGTTACAATTGCTTCCATGCATCATCCATCAACCAAAGGGTACACCCGCAAGTCTGTCCCCCTTCCCCCCCCAGTCGTCCGCATATTGCCCCTCTCCGGGTCCAAAGTCCCCAGCCGCTCCATCTCCCCACATCATCGTCTCTGCCTCCATCCCTGGGATCACTGCTTCTCTGGGTAGGATTCTGTTCTTTGCTCTTCTCCTTTGATGGTCCCAGGGACCTCCGCTGCTAGACTACAAGGTTAATCACGCCCCTTCCCTTTACCCCAAAACGTCTACTTTTACATTTCCAGCCCTTACAGTCAGTCCTGATAACAATTATTTGCTATTGTATCACAGGAGACCTATCTGTATCTCCTTTCATCAGCCCCCACTAGGCAGAATGGATACTACTCAGTGGAGAGTCTGTCTTGCTCCACGCCCTCTGGATCTAGGTTCCATCTTGAAAACTTGTAAGCCAATCACTTCTTGCCACTGTAGCCCCCCATTCTGGGTAGCCAATGTCCAAGTTGCCCATCCCTGTCCTCTCCGTATGCAGAGGAGGTGGGAATGATCCCACTGTGAAGATTTGTTCCCTCTTTTGAGCTATTGCTTCCATAGGTATAGGTCAAGTTCATCAAATTGTATCAGATTGTTCTTTTTTCCCTCTTCTGTCTTATTCTGGTTGAGCTCTGATCATCCAGTCATTGAAGCCAGATCAAGTGGGTATTATCTGCAAGTT